TTGAAATTTCCTGTAAAATCCCCCCCCTTTGCTTTGCCCCTTTCCCTGCAGGAATGAGTCATTTCAGAATTGATTCGCTGACATTTTCCAACCATTTAAAAAAAAAAAAAAACCAAAAACCACACGACAGAAATTGCAGAAAAAAAAAAAAATTTTAAAAAAAAAAAAATTTAAAAAAAAAGAGCTGAGAATGTGCAGGGAAATCACCTGGGGCTGCTGACTCAGCGCTTTCTGCTGCACCTGAGCACCAAAATCTTCGTCAGGAAAATCAAATTATTCATCCTCCACTTCCTGAGGGTTTTTTTTTTTTTTTTTCATCCTCTCAGCACTGTAAAAGTGATTTTTTAAAAATTTTTTTTTTTTCATTTTTTGAAATAAAAAGCACCCGAGGGTGTGTGGAGTTTGGAGGTGCTTTCTGAAATGAATTAAAATGTGTTAAAATAGAGTGTAAAACATTATAATTATATGATTAATTATATGATGATATAAATAATTATACATAATTATATATTATATTATATTACATTACATTATATTATATTATATTTTATTACATTTATTATATTATATTGCATTATATTACATTACATTATATTATATTACATTATATTATATTATATTACATTATATTACATATAATTACATCATAATACAATTATAATAATAGTATAATAAATAATTATAATGCATATATAATATAAAATATATATAATGTACATGTAATATTATATATTTATAGTATAATCTATAATATATAATTAAATATACATTATAATTATTATATAGATATATCATATTTAAATGAAATATTTAAATGTAATAGTGAAGTGTGATACAATAATTATAATACAAACCCAATAATCAGAAGTTTTATTTGAATTAATTGATGGGTATTGGCAGATAATTGGATTGTGGGATGAAATGAAAGAATTCCGTGGGATTTTGGTGCTGATTTTTCTCTTCTGTTCCAATTCAACTTTTCCTGCAGCAAAAATATTGAATATTGTGATAAATAAATACCAAATATCAAAATACAGGCTTAAAAACCATCATTGATTAAACAACTGAGAGCTTGAAATGAAAGGGATTGTGAGAAATTAAATCTTCAAAATTGATTGTGACAGATTTTAAAAATTGGTTGGGACAAATGAGATCCTAAAAAATTGGATTGGGACAATTTAAATCCTAAAAAATGGATTGGGACAATTTAAATCTTAAA